TCGAGGCAGCAATTAAGAGCCTACCACACACAAAAAAGTCCAGGTCCAGATGGGTTCACAGCTGAATTCTACCAGACACACAAAGAGGAACTATTACCATTCCTTCTGAAACTATTCCAAATAATCCAAAAAGAGGGAATCCTCCCCAAATCATTTTATGAGACCAACATCATCCTGTTACCAAAACCTGGCAGAGACCCAACAAGAAAAGAAAACTTCAGGCCAATATCCATGATGAACATAGATGCAAAAATCTTCAATAAAATAGTGGCAAGCCGATCGCAACAGCACATCAAAAACTTATCCATCATGATCAAGTAGGATTCATCTTGGGGATGCAAGGCTGGTTCAACATACGCAAGTCTATAAACGTAATTCACCACATAAACAGAACCAAAAACAAAAACCACATGATTATCTCAATTGACGCAGAGAAGGCATTTGACAAAATACAACAGCCCTTTATGCTAAAAACCCTCAATAAACTCGGTATCGGTGGAACATATTTCAAAATAATAAAAGCTATTTACAACAAACCAACAGCCAATATCATACTGAATGGGCAAAAACTGGAAGCATTCCCTTTGAAATCCGGCACTAGACAAGGATGCCCTCTTTCACCACTCCTATTCAATATAGTACTGGAAGTCCTAGCCAGGCAATCAGGCAAGAAAAAGAAATAAAGGGTATTCAAATAGGAAAGGTGGAAGCCAAATTGTCTCTATTTGCAGATGACATGATAGTATACCTAGAAGACCCCATCGCCTCAGCCCAAAAACTCCTGAAACTGATAAGCAACTTCAACAAAGTCTCAGGATATAAAATCAATGTGCAAAAATCACAAGCATTCCTATACACCAATAACAGACTTAAAGAGAGCCAAATCAAGAATGAACTGCCATTCACAATTGCTACAAAGAGAATAAAATACCTAGGAATACAACTCACAAGGAACGTAAAGGACCTCTTCAAGGAAAACTACAAACCACTGCTCAACAAAATAAGAGAGGACACAAACAGATAGAGAAACATTCCATGTTCATGATTAGGAAGAATTAATATCGTGAAAATGGCTATATTGCCCAAAGTAATTTACAGAATCAATGCTATCCCCATCAAGCTACAATTGACTTTCTTCACAGAACTGGAAAAAACCACCATGAACTTCATATGGAACCAACAGAGAGCCTGCATAGCCAAGTTAATTCTAAGCAAAAAGAACACAGCGGGGGGCATCACACTACTGGATTTCAAACTATACTACAAGGCAACAGTAATCAAAACAGCATGGTACTGGTACCAAAACAGAGATATAGACCAATGGAACAGAACAGAGGCATCGGAGGCAACACAACATATCTACAACCATACAATCTTGGATAAACCTGACAAAAACAAGCAATGGGGAAAGGATTCTCTGTTTAACAAATGGTATTGGGAAAACTGGCTAGCCATGTGCAGAAAGCAGAAACTGGACTCCTTCCTGACACCTTACACTAAAATTAACTCCAGATGGATTAAAGACTTAAACATAAGACCTGGCACCATAAAAACCCTAGAAGAAAATCTAGGCGAAACCGTTCAGGACATAGGAGTAGGCAAGGACTTCATGACCAAAACACCAAAAGCATTGGCAACAAAAGCCAAAATAGACAAATGGGACCTAATCAAACTCCACAGCTTCTGCACAGCAAAAGAAACAGTCTCTGGTGTGAATCGGCAACCAACAGAATGGGAAAAAATTTTTGCAGTTTACCCATCTGACAAAGGGCTGATATCCAGAATTTACAAAGAACTCAAACAGATTTACAGGAAAAAAACAAACAAGCCCATTCAAAAATGGGCAAAGGATATGAACAGACACTTTACAAAAGAAGACATACAAGAGGCCAACAATCATATGAAAAAATGCTCATCATCACTGGTCATTAGAGAGATGCAAATCAAAACCACACTGAGATACCATCTTATGCCAGTTAGAATGGCCATCATTAAAAAATCTGGAGACAACAGATGCTGGAGAGGATGTGGAGAAAAAGGAACACTTTTACACTGTTGGTGGGAGTGTAAATTAGTCCAACCATTGTGGAAGACAGTGTGGCGATTCCTCAAGGCCTTAGAAATAGAAATTCCATTTGACCCAGCAATCCCATTATTGGGTATATATCCAAAGGACTATAAATCATTCTACTATAAAAACACATGCACACGAATGTTCATTGCAGCACAGTTTAGAATAGCAAAGACCTGGAACCAACCCAAATGCCCATCGATGATAGACTGGATTGGGAAAATGTGGCACATATACACCATGGAATATTATGCAGCAATCAAAAATGATGAGTTCGTGTCCTTTGTAGGGACATGCATGAATCTGGAGAACATCATTCTCAGCAAACTGACACAAGAACAGAAAATGAAATACCACATATTCTCACTCATAGGCAGGTGATGAAAAATGAGAACACATGGACACAGGGAAGGGAGTACTACACACTGGTGTCTATTGGGGGGAATAGGGGAGGGACAGCGGCGGGGGGAGCTGGGGAGGGATAGCCTGGGGAGAAATGCCAAATGTGGGTGAAGGGGAGGAAGGCAGCAAAACACACTGCCATGTGTGTACCTATGAAATGTCTTGAATGTTCTGCACATGTACCCCAAAACCTAAAATGCAATTAAAAAAAAAAGAAAGAAAAAAGAAATCAGGAGGACTGTCAGGGAGCAAAGCATTCTACCAGAACACATATGCCATTCATAATTGGAGCTTCTCCAGCTTTTTTCCCATCCCTATCATCACTTTTCTCTATCTTTTTTTTGATCTGGATAAAATAATATTTAAATTAAAATATAAAATAAAAAATTTCTCCAAGAGTGCACACGAAGAAAAATTCCAATCCTCTGGGAGGATTCTCTTCTTTAGCTATTCGCATAAAAACGAGACCTCCGAAGCCTCTGACCTTTATCTTCAAAGCCCAGTGTGAGTTGGAAAAGAAACATTATACTCTTTTGCACTCTAAAATCAGATAAGTTTGAACCATCTGCTTCATTTTAGATATGTTTAAAAGGAAGTTTCAGATGTTTATAATACAAAAGGTTTTTGGAGAGGAAACCCAAGTCTTCCATGTGTAGACCTAAGGAGATCCTACCACACTTTAGATTCTTTAACATTTTGGTCTCTCAAATGTGAAATCTTCCTTTCTCCACGTCATTCAAGATAACACACCTTCTTGTCCAGATAAATCTAGAAATGAGTTCTTTAACATTATTTCTATTTTTTATCCTTATGAAGTGACTTCAAACAGATTAGTGCTGAAAATGCGCTGTCTCAGGATTAAGCAACAGTACATGGCTGACTTAATTAAATAGAACCACCCACTGATAACCTCTGCCTCAGATTTAGAATTCTCCCTAGGTGAATTCTTCCCTAGGTGCTTTGATTATTTTTTAAATATTTCTGAAAATTTGCCTAATAATTCATTGGTAATAGTGATATGCGTGGAGGATGGGAGGGCTGGCAGGAAAGGTGAGTTGCTGGAGTGTTCCTAGGCAAAGTCCAGATCCTCTCCCAGTCACAGGCTAGGAAGAATGTAATCGGCAGCCTAAAACTCTCAATGAGGAGGGGGGAAGGGACTTCTCAGGACAAAGGGCACAGGTAGCAGAGGTAAATTGATTCATCTTGTCTGGTCATAATGTTTCTTGCCACTCCCGTGTTATACAATGAAGGAAGAAAGTGCTGATTATCAAAGGAAGAATATATACTGCTTTGCTAGGTTCAGGAGTTTCCTATGACAACATAAGCTTTGGTGAATATATGTGTGTGTGTGTGTGTGTCTATTTGGCTATTATCTATCTTCCTATCTACTGTTTGCCTACTTATCAAAATGTAACAATGAACTCTAAGTATTATATATATATGTATATATATCACATAGTCCCTGAAACAGATTTGAGGAGCTGCTTATCTATTTCCTTAATGGCAACAGGTCTAATAAAAAAGCTCCCAGTTGCTGCCAGCCAGTTCTTAAGATCCTTAAGAGGGTCTTCCCTGAAAGGTAGGATTTGGTCCACACAATAGATGTCATTTGAACAGGTTGACCATATGAAGGTGCTTAAAATACACAGAATATGAAATAAGATTCACATGTTGGCTGGACATGGTGGCTCACGTCTGTAATCCCAGCATTTCAGGAGGCTGAGGCAGGCAGATCATGAGGTCAGGAGTTTGAGACTAGCCTGGCCAACATGGTGAAACCCCCTCTCTACTAAAGTACAACAATTAGCCGGGTATGGTGGTATGCGCCTGTAATCCCAGCTACTCAGGAGGCTGAGGCAGAAGAATCGCTTGAACCTGGAAGGCAGAGATTGCAGTGAGTAGAGATCCTGCCATTGCACTCCAGCCGGGGCAATAGAGTGAGAATCCATCTCAAAAAAAAAAAAAAAAAAAAGGAAATAATTCACCTGTTAATTTTTGGCTGCATTTCTAGGTATTCAAATGGGAAATGAAACTAGATATTAATGTCTAGATTCCGGGTCCCTGCAGGTGGGTATGGGAGAGTGAAGCTTGCCTGAAATAATAGATTTGGAGGCTAAAGAGGTCCAAAGCCTAAGTCTTGGTTGAGGCAGGCTTGAGAAGCAAAGTGTAGTTAGTACCGGCTGTAATGCTTTAGGTTGTAAGTGATAGCCTGGTGCAAAGTGATAGAGTAGTGGTTAAGTCTGGATTTTGAGCCAGATCTAGGTTCAGTCCTAGCTTTATCACTTAACTAGCTATGTGATCTGGGCAAAATATTTAAGCTCCTTGTATCTTAGTTTTCTTCTGGGCAAAATGAGGAAAAGAGTGAACTTGATAGGTTTGTTATAAGCCATAAACACATGGATTTATTTAAGGTACTAGAAGAGTGCCCAGAACTTAGCTCAATGTATGTTAACAAGTAATGGAAATCTCTACTCAAACTGACTCGAACATTTAGAAGATGTATTACATATTTTTTTAACAGGAAGCCGAGAGGCAGAGTAGGCGCCATGGTTGGTTGACTGAGCAGGACGACACTGTCATCATCTCTCCATTCTGCCATCCTGAGTGGAGGCTTCGTTTTCAGGCTGGTTGCAAGATGGCTACAGAAGCTCCTAACATCACAACAAGAGATATGGTGTGTTTCTTTCTGTGGCTTTCTTTTAAGAGAAAAGGGTAAGTCTGGACATGGTGTCTCATGCCTGTAATCCCAGCACTTTGGGAGGCTGAGGCAGGAGGATCGCCCAGTTGTTTGAGACCAGCCTGGGAAACATAGGGAGACCTCATCTCTACAAAAAGAAAAAAATGAGCCAGGCATGGTGATGCACACCTGCGGCCCCAGCTACTTGGGAGGCTGAGGCTGGAGGGTCGCTTAAGCCTGGGAGGTTGAGGCTGCAGTGAGCCGTGATGGCACCTCTGCTCTCCAGCCTGGGTGGCAGAACAAGACTCTGTCTCAAAAAACAAAAAGAAGAAGGTAACATTTCAGAGAAATTCCTCCTCAAACTTCTACATTCTCATTGGCCAGAACTGGTCTTTTGGGAAAGGAAGTGAATGAGTTTCCCTTAGACTGATCAATTTCACCTCTGAAACTGGGAGTGGGATCAGGTTCCTCTGGCTGCTTGGAAATAAGCAAATGTCTGAATGGTGTTTCCATTCCATTAGGAACCATCATGGAAGGGGTGGGAAAATGGTAGAGAATGAATACTGAGTAGACAACCAATAATGACCTCTACAGCTATGGTGGACAGAGACCATGAACATGCTGAGGGAGGTTGGCACAAGAGATTGCAAGAGGCAGAGCCTGGAGAGACCCTTTGAGGTAATTTCCTCTCTGGAAGAAGGCTGTTTAAAGAGCCTGTCCATGGCCATCATGCCTGTAATTCCAGCACTTTGGGAAGCCAAGATGGGAGAATCCCTTGAGCCCAGGAGTTTGAGGCTGCACTGAGCTATGATTGTACCACTGCATTTCAGCCTGGGCAACAGAGAGAGACCCTGCCTCAAAAACAAAAATGATAATGAGCCTGGCCAAGCCCACTGATGGGGAGAGAGTTGTCGAGGACAGAAAATACTACCCTAGTCCCTCATTAGTCCTTCTTTTGTGGGTGGAAAGGAATAGGAGTATGCTAAATTCACTTGGTAGAAAACTAGCTCACTAGGAGTACTATGAATAAGATGGAAAAACGTCAAGAGCTGTGAAGTTTCTGAGATTTTACCCTACCTGCAATCTAACACTGTAGCTTGCCATAGTTTCATGGATACTGGAAGAAGTCTTGAGACTCCTCGGTCAGAGGCAATAACAGTAGTCAAAGTATGAGGATTTGTGCTGGTTCCCCAAGCCCTGATTCCCACAGGGTGATGCAAAAAGGGCCAGACGTTATGTGATGGATTACATAAGCGAGGGGAAAACCTAATCTTCAAAAATCCAAATATTTTGCAGTGGGGGCCAGTCACAGTGACTCATGCCTGTAATGCCAGCACTTTGGAGGGTCAAAGCAGGTGGATCCCTTGAGGCCAGGATTTAAAGACCAGCCTGGGCAACATGGCAAAATCCCGTCTCTGCTGAAATACAAAAATTAGCCTCGCGTAGTGGCAGGCGCCTGTAATCCCAGCTACTCAGGAGATTGAGGCATGAGAATTTCTTGAACCTGGGAGTCAGAGGTTGCAGTGAGCTAAGATCATGCCACTGCACTCCAGCCTGGGCAACAGAGCGAGACCCTGTCTCAAAAACAAACAAACAAAGAAACAAATATTTTACAATGAAATGTAAGCCTGTCTGCTCTTTTTTCCAGAAACAAACATTATCTTTATTACACTAGACTAGATAATAAGTGTGTCTACCCATCTTGCCTGGGGTCTGTCAAAATTTCCCATGAATATGCCACTCCATTAGCCACTCTGATTAATCTGAACAACAGGGGCTAAGAGCAAATCTTTTCCATTTGTCTCATATAGCATTTAATTAAGCTATTGTCAAGAGGACTCAAATCAGCAGAATGAGGCCAACCTACACGATTGACCTTCACCATGCTGCCCAGGGTGCCAGGCCTAGGCAGCTGAACAAATCCTGTAGTCATCAGGATCTGCTTTAGAGAATCAGGTGGTATGGGCGTTCACTCAGGGTAGTGGCAAAAATATTAAGGAAAAAATATTAGAAATAGCTTTAGGAAATAGTCACAAACCTTTCTGGAAGGCCAAAGCTTTCTTCCTAAGTTTTTGTACTGGTATTTCCACTTGGCCTGAGACATTAATCCAGGAGTATCAATATGCATCAGTGATTGCATACGCTCTGTCTTGGTCCTCAAAATGGAAATCTAGGGCAATTATATTCTTCATAACAACTCCGGCCACTTGAGGCCAGCCTGAATGCCTTCCAGAAAGGAGCAATAGTGTTGATGACTTAAACTAAAATCAGGAACAAATTTGTACCATGTTTTTAAACTGACTCCTGACATAGGGATAATTATATGCTGGGGGCACATAAATCACAAGGGATACAATTATTCCTCTGACAATCTCTCCCACGTAGTCAAAAGTAGCCCTTTTTGGGGAGAGATGTCTGTAGTTCGGAGGGCTATGTGATCTACTCGTGGTGCTTCTTCAAACATTTGGAGATATCTTATGACCATTGCTAAGTCGTAAGTCAATGCATTTTCAGAAGGCAGAGAGATTAATGCCTGGGCTCTATTAAAAAAAAGTCCAGTCCCAAGAATATACATCATGTCCATGAAAAGAAAGTGTTGTTTATGATTGTCAGGGGTCCTTAGTGGAACCGACATCATCTTCTGACTTGCTTCCGACATGAGTTTTTGGCCAGTTGGTAAGCTTTAAAATTTCCAGGTTAGTTTGAATGAATGAGTTTAGTCTTTGTTTTAGAAAGACTGCCCAAGGGCAGCCAGTCCGACCCATCCTGTTTCTCCACACCACTACCTGGGCGGCATTTTTCCACCAGAGAAAATGACTAAGTGACAGCTACGAGAAGGGGCTAGGAAAGACATCTGGAGGTGTTAGCAGATGTTTCTGTGGGAGGTGCGGGAGCTGGGGCCACCCACTCTTGTTTCTGATAGATTTCCCAGTAAGTTTAAGGAACGTGGCAGTCAAATCATGATCAGAAGCATCTGGCAGAGGACTGCAGATTCAGCAGGCCGTTGCAGTTAAGACCCCTCCGATAGTTTGGAAAAGCCTCGCCAGAGTTTTCCTCCATTAAAAACGCTTGGGGTGTAGTTCTAGAAAACAAAAACCACCTTAATCTCCCTCTCCTTTGTGTCTCTCTGGGGCTGAGGCACTCCCATCTCAGGTGCTGTTTGCCTTTTCCTGCTTCCAAACTGGTGCACCCAGTTCTAGTAGGTGCAATTCACTTTTGCTCCATTGTCCCCTCATCACACCCACACCTTTGTTCAGAAGGTCAGACATGTTTATAAAAATTATAGAGATCCTTTATGGCTCCCCACGTTGGTCTGTGTAAGCCACTCACTGTAGGGGATTTGGTGAGCATGTGCTCAACCAAGTGGCAATTAGCCTTGTAATCCATGTCAATCCAAATAGAGAGTACAGATGGCTGAACCAGAATTAAGCTGAACTCTCCTTAATTAGGCTGACCAGGGGTTGCTATTAGGGAAAAGAAAGATGTATCGTGGCCAGGAATGGTCAGGGAGAAAGCTCACATTTTCAAAATAAGTCTACACAGCCTTCCACCCCTTTTGTCCTGGTTATTATCCAAAAAGCAGCTCTCTGGGGGGACAGATCTCTCTGTGGGGACAGGTGCAAGCAGTAACCAAACTGCCTTTCTAACGTGTGTGGACCAAGAAAAGGTGAGGGAAGTAGAGTCAGGAATCTTTTTGATTCCTCAATTTTTGAGGAGACCATTCCATTGCTAAACAATACCAAATACCTGTGGATGGTGAGGGGCTTGGAAGGTCAATTGAATATCTGTGCTGTGAGTAGCAGAGGCCAGGGTAGAGAGAAAGGGAGGGATCAGAGGGCGAAAGGGGAAAGAGGCTCTCCAGTAGGGAGGGTTTTCATTTGCTTTCAGTTTCAGACAACGTGGTGGCTGCTCATGGCTCAACCTAATGAAGTCACAGTGCCTTTGGCCGGTCCAGTGCCTAATATTGGGCAGCAAGGTTCTCATGCCTAAAACCCACTATTTCAGTACTGGGGACTCTTTGACTTAGAGTCGTAGCCACACTGTTATCTGCCTGGTGTCACCAGCTTTATGCCACTTTGCTCTCTTGGGCTTGACTCACACAGTAAGCCTGCAACTCTTCAATTCCAACTCACAACCAGCAAAAAATAGAGAACCATTTTATGCTTACCTGCTCATAAAATCTGATCAACGTGTTCACTAATGATTGCCAGGGGCTTCCCACAAAAAACCTTTTTATTGGCCTATGAGGCCCTCATCATTCCTCTGTTCCTTATCAATCTACATCCCATCATAGTCACTAAGATTTTCAAGAACTGTTAGCATTTTGCTGTATTTACAATCTAAGTCATCCTGCCATAGTATGGATGCTGACAGAATACAGAAGACCCCTGGGTCATAAACAAAGAACTTGATTGCTCACAGCAATAGCAGTAGTTACTGTCATTTGCACCGGTTTCCTAAGCCTTAATTGTCACAGATCAATGCAAGAAGAGCTGGATAACACCTGAACATGTAGCGGATTGGCCCCAGGCACTCCTTGGCTTGTGGGTTCATAACATCAATCTCTGCTCCCTTCTTTATATGGCATTTTTTTCTGTGCATCTTCTCTTCTCTCTCTTATAAGGACACTTGCCATTGGATTTAGGGACCAGCTGGACAATCCAGGAGGATCTCGTTTCCTTAATTTAGTAACATTTGGCAAGACTTTTTTTTTTAAGTAAGGTAACATTCATAGATTTGGATATGGATATATCTTTTGAGAAACAGCCACCATTCAATTCACTGTATCACTCAAATCTCATTTTTGCCTATTTGAAATATACTTAAGTATAAAAAACATGGTTTTATATATGCATATTTACCTTGGTATACTATTTTTTCTCAAACCAGTCATAAAACTTTGTTAAGGATCCACTTGATTCATTAAGTATTTAAATTAGGCTTGTTAAATTAATAACTAAATGATTATTAATAACAGAATCATTATGATATGAAAGGGGGACAGAGAAATGCTGGGTAGTTTCAGTTATGTCATTCTTTTAATTATATGTACATGAGATTATATCAAGCTATCTGTTTATTGAGTTTGACCCATTCAAGCATAACAGACACAATAGATAGGGCAAATCCTGCTTCTGTAACATTCTTAAACATTTATCTGTTCATAAGTTCCACATGTAATTATGGGAAACAAAAATGTCCTCCTATGCCCTTGCACCTCATTGCCACGTGGTAACACTCTCTAAGGCTTGCTGTATAGCTTTGTCTTACCATTTTTTCACTGAGTTTCCAAAAAAAAAAACTTCCTTCCTTGAGTAGCAGGGAACGCATATAATGCTTTTGAACGCTTCTAAAATAAGATTTATTCCATCTGCGATTTAAAAACAATACACACATGATTTAAGTATTTTCTGGCTGTATTCAGAACACCGATTAATACTTTTTACCATTTAAATATTGTCTCTTATATGATGCTCTGTCTCCCAGGTAGCTTCCTTTCAAATGTCAAGCATTTTCACAAATATTAGGAGTAAAAGAAGCCATTCACTGTATAATCCAGGACCTCAAGCTATCCTTACAGCACTTCATGAATTCTTGATCTATTTATGAAGTTAAATTGCAATTGTTTTGTTTTAATTTAAAAACATAGAAAACTGTCACAATATTACACAAATGAATAGAATTTTATTTTATGAGTTTATTTAAAATTTTGTTTTTCTTCCCTAAGTTGATTTTAAGATTAGTAGTCTTGGAATTCTTTTATTAACAAAATGCAACAGAACAACTAAACAGAAATGTTTCCTCCTAGAGTTATCCAACACCTTTTAACTCTTTTACCAAAATGTCTGGAATATTTTTTTTATTTCTTCACATTGCTTCTCTTCATAACTCATTTATTATTTCTATGATCGAAAAGCTTTTAAGTTTCTCTGTTCCAAAATGAAAAACTGATTGGGACATCAACTATCAAAGATCATTCACGTGTTTTTCCTATGTGTAAGCTATTGAATTTTGAATACATTTAAATTTTTATTTTACTAAAGTCAAATCCAATTACCAGTCTCTTTCAAGCAGATTGAGGACTGTAATTAGACTCATATTAATTTTTTAGTAGCAATATAAACCATAAAGGTATTTAAAAGATATAGCACCAAATAAAATGATAAAATAAGATATAGCACTATAAAATGATAGCTGTTTCATAAAATAAAATACATATTAAGGTAGGATACTTTTATGTTTCAGACAGCATTTAAAAAATTTCACATTTTTTAATTTCACATTTATTGACTGAGCCAATTTCACAATTAATCTTTGACTTTATGGCCTTTGTGTGTTTTCATGTAAAAACTGGTAGTATCTTTTCCTAGAAATTATATATTTTGGTGATAATTCCTCATGTGGGAAACAAAAAATAATATTTTCATATATTCAACTGATAAATTGGTGGGTTGGACATTTTCTATCAGTTTCCTAGAGTAGAAACTAGGTAAGAAAATAAATTTATAAGAAACAAAATTGGTGCATAATGTGTTTGTTTAAATGAAGTATCTATAAATATGCTTAGTTATCTCTTCTAGTCAGGACAGAACTGAATATTTGTCCCCCCATCAAAGTTTTTGTTTTTATACTGGATTATACTTATTTATCCAATCCCTGTAATAGTCACATAGTAATACTGTGCTAGATGGAACTATCTGATTCTAGATAGAGAAAAGCGATTCTGAAAACTCCTCCAAATGGAATGTGCATTTTTCCCCTAGTATGTGAATATTGCACATCCTAACAATTGTTATCAGGTTGATCACAAATTAGCTATATGGGCATGTCTCAAAACATATAGGAAAACATTATAAAAAGCAGCTTAGAGTGCATCCTTCAGGTTATTGTTTTGACCAGCAGCTGCCATGGGGCATCACATACAATTTTCCTTACCTGCTTTAATAACATTGCATAGGAAACACAAATTGATAGCATCTTACCTTTCTGATAAGTGTGTAATATTCACTACTTTCAAATTGGGAACAGGGCTAAATGGTTACCTCCTGTGAGTAGGTAATACCCTACACCTGGCTATTCTAACCACATGCCTGAGAATACGGCTCCCAGGACTTCTCAAATTTCAGAGTACATGTGACCTAGAGAGGTTGTTAAAAATGCAGATCCCTCTGATGACCAGTGATGATGAGCATTTTTTCATATGATTGTTGGCCTCATATATGTCTTCTTTCGTAAAGTATCTGTTCATATCCTTTGCCCACTTTTGAATTGGCTTATTTGTTTTTTTCCTGTAAATCTGTTTGAGTTCTTTGTAAATTCTGGATATCAGCCCTGAAGGGGAGAAGCAAAGCAAAGCACACTGCCATGTGCGTACCTACGCAACTGTCTTGCATGCTCTGCTCATGTACCCCAAAACCTAAAATCCAATAAAAAATTAAAAAAAAAAAATGCAGATCCTGGGACCTCAAGGCCAGAGAGTCTGTTTCCATTTCAGAAGATGTGGAGTGTATCTTGGCAATCCATATTTTTAGCAACTACTCACTTGGAGAAACATTATTTTTAGGGGTAGTTCGATGCAAATGAGTGAATTTGAAAAAGAAAGGAATATATTCAAGTCCAAGAAAGCTTTGTTCTATATCCCTTAATGTATGGGGAGGTTTGTAAAATTTGATGTCTACTCCTCTCTGCTAGACATTTACATATTATTGCGTTTAATTCATACAGTAGTCTAATCAGGAAAATTCTTCACTCATTCCTTCTCAGGGTCTCATAGTTAGCAAGCTGAGCAGCAAGGATTTGAACACAAATCTTCTCTATTTTATGATAGCGATGAGGGAAGCTAATCACAATCATGATCAAATAAATGTCTGAGCAGCTAAAAATCTAGATATATGTACAAAATCATATCAGAAATTTGCTTATTGTGGATTATATTGTATTCCATCTGTAAAATGTGGCCATTTGGAATGAAATAGTGCTTTTACAAACTTATAACATTTTAAAATAATTATTATTTATTATAAGTAATTATTATTTTATACCAAGCATTCTTTTTTTCAATCCCACAAATTTCAAAGTACTTGTAAGGTATGTATTATTGCCCTCACTTTGCAGAAGAAATAACTATACTTGAGGAGGATAAGTAAAGTACCAAACTTACTTAGCTGGTGCATAACTAAGATACATCTCAAAATTATGTCTTCAGAATTCTAAAAAACAGAATTTTAATGCTTGGCTGTCTGACTTAGACTTTCAGCTAGGTATAGTTGTATTCAAACACCAAATAGAAAACATGGAGGAAGGTTTTTAGTCTATGAGTTGATTCAGTTTTAACAGTGTAAAAACACTCAACTAAAAAATAGTAACTGTGGCATATAATATTCATTCAGGAAGAACATTTTCTAAATCCCTATTTTAACATTTAACTATTTCTGTCTGTGAAAATAAGATTTTTCTTTAGAATTGAAATATGTAGAATTTTACATTAAAATACATTTTCTATAAAATATCCTATAATCACTATTTTATAACAAAAGGTGTAATAACGCCTGATTAATTCATTTACTTAGACAGTTAAAAACTGAAATGTTTTATCAGTTTGTGCTTTCAGTGCTTCCAGGATTTCAGATGTCATTGTAAGTTAATTTTCAATTACTTCAATGGTAGCTGTATGGTATATTAAAATTTATATTTTTGATTTAAATATTAACAGTTGTATGAAAATCAGCCTGTTGCAGAATAAATTACAAATTGTGGCTGAAAATGTTAATTGCCACGTTTGTTCATTGTTTATTAGTTTTATTATTGTAGGGTTCCACTGGATTCTCTGGCTTTCCAGGTGCCAATGGAGAGAAGGGTGCACGGGTATGACATATAAATATAATGTTTTAGGCTATGTAACATAAATGTTCTTAGCTGGACAGGCGCATGCCTGTATTCCCAGATATTTGTGAGGCTGAGGTGGAGGATTGCTTGAATCCAGTAGTTCCACGCCAGCGTGGGCAACACAGCAAGTCTGTTTTTGAATGAATGAATGAATGATGTTCTTGCATGAGTACTCAGTGTCAGCACCAGACTCATTATTTATTGTGATATACTGCATATTGAAACTGTTTGAACTGTCTTTTATAGGGATTAACTGGCAAACCAAGCCCTCACTCAGCGCGGTCCAATGGTAGGTGCCTTGATTTAAAATAATGTGCATTTTTCATATTGAATTTAGTTTTTCAAGATAACTTATTTTTCCAAAAATAAAAATTGATTTAGTGCCTTTGGATTTGCTGGGCACTAGTTCAGGTTCGTCTTTCGTTTTCATCTGCAGGGTCCTCAAGGTTCAAGAGTTGCGAGAGGCCCCACTGGGAAACCCAGGCCAAAGGTATCATCTGCACTTTTTCTTTTCAGATATTGCTGTAGTTTCTTTTCCAGACAGATGCTATGAGAAGGAATTCTAACTGATTTTTCTTTTTTTTTCTTGGTGTCAGGGCACTTCAGGCTGTGATGGCCCTGCTGGCCCTCCAGGTGAAAGAGTACGTATAATACAGCTACATAAAAGAAGATGAAAATTGGTGTTTCTGCAAGCATTTAGATTTCAGGGAAAAGATGTATGTCTGCTAATACATGTGCAGATTTATCCACGAAATCTAGTCTACATTTACAAATGCTTTTTAATTTATTCCCCTTCAACAATAAAAAAACAGTATGTTCTAATTGTGTTATAGAAATGAGAGAAATGTGTATATCACTCTTATAGTCAAGCCAAAATATTTTATGGCATTACATTTATCAGTTTTCAACTGTGTTCTTAACTATTTAGTCCAAGATAATTAAGAACTCTTGGCAGAAAATGAAGGCATATTCGGGGTGAAATATCTCATCAATCACAAGGAACACAAGAAATATGTTCTTCCTATATAGATGAAAACGAAAGATGAGCCTGAACTAGTGCCCAGCAAATCCAAAGGCACTAAATCAATTTGAAAGGCAGCAAAACTTTAGAAAGCAAAAATGACCCTGTAAGAAATCAGGAAAATAGAGTTTGCTATGGAACCGAAGGAATATTATTTTTAAAAGTTTGTGTTTAAAGTGAATTTTTGTTTAGGAATCATAGTTTAATAAGAGTTTAAAAATTTATAAGTTCCTCAGTTTTGCTCAGTAGTTTCAGTAGTCTGATATGACATCTATTTTTGTTAACTTCATATATAACTTAGAAGTTACTTTTTTAATGTAAGATGCTGGTAATAGTACAAACTGTACAAACTTGTGATGATTTCTGAACTAACATTGGCTTATGAATGGTAATGAGATTTTTCTTGGAAAGGCTAGATTGGTAAATAGAAAGAGTAAATTCTATTGAAGGCCAACTTCAGTAAATTATATTTTTGACTAGAAAAATACAGAAATCCTACCCTAAATGCGTTAAGAAGTTTTATTTATGTTATTTTTCATAAAGCTTCTTAAATAAATGTAACTATTATGTTCTGGGCATATAAAGGATTATCTCTTACCAATTACTTTTTCTGCCAGTGATGGAGTCACTGTAATGGGACCTACTTTATGTACTTTAAAAATAGGTAAATTTGAGAGATGAATAATATAGTTAATTAAAAATCAAGCCAAAAATGATATTATAACATCATATTTGGACTGAATGTTGATAACTACACAATAAAATTATTTTCATCTTATCTACAAAACAAATTTATACATGAGTAAAAAACATACTGACATCATCAAAAATAAATAATTATGTTTATTTATTTTTAATATTCTCTTTTATTATTATACTTTAAGTTCTGGGGGATATGTGCAGAATGTTCAGGTTTGTTACAGAGGTATACACTTGCCATGAGGAGTAACATTAGGAGAAATATATTTATTTTAAATATGGAGACTAGGTAACAGCATCTTCTGTGGTTTATCTGTGATAGTCATATACTTTCTCTTTTAGTTTTAGAATATATGGCTAGATACAGAACGCGGATGGAATAAGTTTTAAAACAGTATTTTTTAGAGGACTGTGGAATTGAATTGAATCAAAATATCTTCCTTCTATGAATGTTTCTAGCCAATGTTTGGTAAAGAAGCTGCAGAACTTCTCAATTCTACATTCTCTTCACTTTTAATTCATATGAGTTCTAAATATTTACAGTGTTCCGGAGGTAACATTGATGTGATGTGCAGTTTTGAGTAGAGTAGTGTGAAAAATTATCCATTTTGCTTTTGGATTAGCACTTACTCTCACATTGCATTATCATAGTTTTGTCACTGTGATAAAGAATTTGGATGATACATTGTATTTCATATATACAAATCAATCTCAAAGTATAAAGATGCGTCTTCTAAGGCATGTTGTTAACTTCTCCCCACTGCTTTTTATTTCCAGGGTCCTCAAGGACCACGGGGTCCAGCTGGATTCCCTGGACCAAAAGTCAGAGCTTCTCTTTCTCTGTCTCTATTTGACATTTTCAGAGTTTTGAGAGTCACAGCTTACATTTAAAATATTTGTTAGATATAATATTGATAAAATCTCTATAAAATTACAATTGATGTCAAAGGAAGTAGATATTTCAATTTATGAGGTTCGTAGATTGTTTCTGAATATAATTTCAACATCTCTTATTAAGTATATTTGAAAGTATACCAAAGACTAGAAAAACATGACTATCACTCTCTCAGCTGCTCCTTTACTACAATGAATATAATTGACGACATTAAAAATTGTTATCAGCCCTTAAATATTTGGTATATTATAATTTACCTTTATTTTCCATCATTAATATAACCTTCATCAAATATCACTTTCTAAATCCCTCCAACATTCTGGTATCGCTTAAGTCATGCTAAGATTTATTTATATTAATATTATATCTGTCTCTGTAATTTAGAAAACAATGAAAATTCTCATTAAATCATATACCTTTTATGGAATGTATTTAGAGCAACACTCTTGAATGTTCATCAAGCATTCTCATAAAGTTAATTGAAATACGTTGTTTTTATATTTAAGTATTTGTGGGGACATAGAACATGCTGGGTTTTTGGCTTTGTTTGTTTCCTTGCAACCTTTGCAGTTTCTTTAAGAGAGCAGAAGTCAGTTTACCCACATGTCTAGGATAGTGGTTCTCAAATGTAGTCCCTGGCCCAGCAGTATCACATCGGTTGGGATATTGTTAGAAATGTAGTCTCACTGCCGGGCCTTGTGGCTCACGCCTGTAATCCCAGCACTTTGGGAGGCCAAGATGGGCTGATCACGAGGCCAAGAGATCGAGACCATCCTGGCCAACATGGTGAAACCCCGTCTCTACTAAAAATACAAAAATTTGCTGGGCATGGTGGCATACACCTGTACTTCCGGCTACTCAGGAGGCTGAGCAGAAGAATGCTGTGAACCTGGGAGGCAGAGGTTGTAGTGGCCAAGGCCATGCCACTTCACTCCAGGCTGGGTGAGAGTGAGACTCCACCTCCACAATGCATTTTTTTTTTTAAAAATTGAATACAAAGAAAAAGTATCTAAACATTCAGCTGAATATATTTTGTCTTACCTGGATTTTCAGGTTCCATTGGAATGAGATAGAAGCTGAATTGTTATTTCTGGAAATCAGGGGAAAAGGAGGATGAAAGAAAACCCTTCAAACTACATTTCCAATGAAACAAAGGAGCAAGAGAACCATACTGTAATCATACAAGTAAAACCCATATCTATTAGGAGTGCACAGTGTGTATTTGGGGTGTGTGTATATATATCTGTATATTTGTGTACACATATATTTGTGTATATATATATATATATTTTTGGTGTGTGTATGTCTGTACACATAACACATATACAATGCAATATTTTTCAGCCATAAAAAAGAAGGAAACCCTGTCACTTGTGATAAGAAGGGTGAACCTGGAAGACAATATGCTGAGGAAAATAAGCCAGACACAGAACAGCAAGTACTGCATGACCTCCCTTATACATGGAAACTAAAAATGAATTCATAGAAGCCGAGAGTAGAATGGTGGCTACAAGAAGAGGGGTGGGAGGTGGGGAATGAGGAGATGGTGGTAAAAGGATACAGAGCTTCAGTTATGTAGAATGAATTGTAACAGAGTGCCCCCATTTTCCTAAGATAAAAGGAATGAGTTTTATTATTATTTTTTCTTCTCTTCTCCTCTCCCCTTTTCCCCCTGTTCTCTGTTTCCTACATAGGCCTTCTGAAGTGCAAACATATCCTTTCATCTCCCCATCACTTGACATACCCTTCAGGGCAAGTTCTTCTGTGTGTTTCAAGACAGATCTCTCTTCAGGAGTGCACAGTTGATTTGCAGACCAAAGCATACCCATCACAGAACTTCCACTGTCTGGGGGTCTCCTCAGATCTTACACCCACTAGGAGAGGATGCCAAAAGCATGCCCACCCAGTCACTTTTACAACTTACTTCTGACCAGAAAGACACCACTCGACTGCCCAGCGGATAACTGCTGGGGAGCAGAGAGACCCTCTGTTTTTGCTCACTTTCACCTTTAACTTACAAAAGTACTCTTTTTGCTGCAAAGGTAAAGCGACACATTTAAAGCAGGACACATTATACTTCTTCCCCCAAGCTAGCTTAGGAAATAAATTCACTTTTTTTTTGTACCAGGCCTCACAGTTAATTGAACTCTGCATGTGGTGAGTGACTAACCTGCTTTTGGTTACACAATGAGTTTTAGAGACCTAATGTGCAGCATGGGGACTATTGTTTATGCCGTATTGTATACTTGGAGTTTGCTACAAAAGTAGATCTTGTGTTCTCACTACTGTAAAAAAAAAAAAAAAAAAAAAAAAGACACAATGTGAAGAGGTAATCATGCTAATTAGCTTAAATGTAGCCATTAGTTCATTATGTAGATGTATGTGAAAACATCATATTGTAGGCTTTGAATATATACACTTTTAATAAAAATTTTTAAAAGATTCCTTTAAGGAAACATTTACAATAGCATCAAAACAAAAACTACATGGCAAAGGGTGTGGAAGCCTATACACTGAAGACTACACAATATTGCTGGAAGCGGTTAAAGATCTTTGGAATAGGAGGTATTTATTCTTGTTTTTCAAGAGTGTTTTTACTATTTGGGGATTCTTGCAATTTTTTCCGAATAAGAAGTTCTTTTTACTTTCTGAAAAAAAATAGGCCACTGGAATTTGAATAAGATTGGATCAAATCTGTAGATTGCTACGAGTAGTATTTCCATGTTAACTATATTAAATTTTCCAACCCATGAACAGTATATTTTTCCATTTATTCAGTTCTTTTATATTTTATGCAATGTTATGTAGTTTTCAGTGTACAAGTATTTTACCTTCTTAATTTTATTCCTAGGTTTATTATTCTTATGTGTGCTATTATAAATGAAATATATTAATTTTCCTTTAAGATTTTTCATTGCTAACACCACTGGTTTTTGTCTGTTTATCTTGTATGCTGCAAGGTTGCTGGATTAGTTTATTAACTCCAGTAATTGTGTGTGTTTGTGTGTGTGTGTGTGTGTATGTATATGTGTGTGTGTTTATTTAGTATTTTCCTTGTATAGGGTCATGTCATCTGCAAATTAAGATTTTTTAATTTTCAAAATATTTTTGCTTATCTTCATTATTGAAAGACGTTTTGACTGGGTATAGAATTCTAGGTTGACAGTTTTTTCTTTTTTCAGTACTTAGAGCTATTGCAAACTTCTTGTTTGTAATAGTTCTGATGAGAAATTTAATGCCATCCTTCAATTAGTCCTCTGTATGTAACATGTCTTTTCACCTTTTATTCCTCTTAGGATTTTCTCTTCATCACTGGTTTTGATCAATTTGAGTATGGTGTTCTTTGTTGTAGTTTTCTTCGTGTTTCTTGTTCTCAGGCTAGATCATGTTTCTAGGATATTTGGGGTTTATGGTTTTCGTGAAGCTTAGAACACTTTTATCCAGTATGTTTTAAATATTTTTCTATCTCTCTTACCCACTCTATTCCCGTCAGGGGTTTCATTTAACATTTATAGAAGGGTTTTTAAAGATTTCCTACTGATGGGATTTTTATTTTTATAAATTGATTTTTTCTGTGTTTCATTTGTGTTAGTTTCTACTGCTATTTCTTCTAGTTCATTAATATATTCTTCTGCAATGTTTAA